AACCTCACAACCATCTTGGAAGATAATTATTACGTCCATTTTGAAGATTAGGAAACTGAAGTTAAAAGCGTTTGAGAGCTTCACCTGAGGCTGTGTAGCTGAGAACTGCTTTGGCCTGGAGGTTGAACTCTAACGGGCCCATTCCTTTCCCTACGTCGGAAGCAGGGGTAATGAAATGGGACAGAGGCAGGTGCTAGAGGGCTAAGGAGGAAAGGGCGGGCCTTGATGCTAAGATGACCCACACCCCACACCAAAACACAAACGCCTCCAGCCTCCAGGATCTTTTGGTTTGGTTCTTACTCTCCTGGAAGACACCCAAAGAAAGGGGAAACTGGACAGACTCCTCATCCCCTGTGGTGACATCAGCTGAGGGCCCAGGGCTGCAATGTTAACCAGGAATGTAGTCTCAGCTCTCTGCCCTTTCTGAGAAAACACATCCAACAGCCTCCTGGCTACCAGCAACTGCTGCCTCTTTAGCCCAGCTTCCCTCTGAATTAGGTCAAAACGACCTTCGCAGCCCCTGGTTTGCCTTTCCTGCCCATTGCTGAGATAATACCAGGATGTTTATTGTTCTAATAGGAGGAAAACAGATATAAACAGACTGATGTTCTTACAATATTTATGATAAAATCTAAGTGCCTTACAACGGCCCATCAGGCCCTCCAGGATCTGGCCCAGCTGGCAGCCCCGCTCACCTCCCTTTCCTCTCTGCCCTGATCACTATGCTTCTACAGGGCAGTGTGCTTCCTGAACCTCGGGACAGGGAGCGCCCCACCTCAAGGCCTTAGCATTTGCGGTCCCTCTGCCTCCTGCTTTCTCGGCATGCTTGCGGGCCCCCACCTCACCCACCCATCATGTCACTCATGCGGAGTGCAAAGGGCACCTCCTCCAAGAAGCCCTCCCTGACCACCTGGCTAGAGTTGGCCCTGCCCTCCAGCCTCTCTGCCACAGTCCTGAGTGGGGCCCTCTGGTAGCACAGAGCACGGTCCCACTCAAGAATGACCCTGTTCACTGATCTGGTTATGCGGTCCCGGACGGGTGGGGTGCAGGAGCCCAGGATGGGCTCGGCAGGCTGCTCCCTAAGGCCCAAGGAGCTGCCCTTGAAGCTTTTGATATTCTCACTTTGGCTTCCAGTCAAGGGTACTGATGCATTAAAGCGTTCTTCTCTGGCCCTACCTGTGAATCCCTCCCCCGACACATCCTGGCCCCAGCACCTCCCACCCCACACTTCCCCCATTGTTACATGGTAGAGGACAGGGAGGGTCAAGGAAGGGCTGGAGGAGAGAAGGCACACAAGGAACTGCGGCCAGAGAGCTGCCTCTCATCTCTGCACAGATTTTCATTTCTGTTCAGCTCAACAAATCAGGTCCCAATGACCGTGGGACAGGGAGGATGCCAGAGACACCTTCTTTAGGCTCTCATGGCTGGAGGGATGCTCTGCAGATTCAGGCCCTTGTTCTGTCTTAGGGATTGGCCCTGGCCTGAGAGATTCTAAGAACCTAGTGCAGTTTACAACCTACAAGACTGTCTTGGGAAACAACAGATTTTCTTTGAATGCAAATAGTTTCTGCAGGACGCTTATTACTTACTTACTGTCACTCCCTGACTACAACTGTTCAGGAAAAGGGGTGTGCCGGTTCCTTAGAGGCTGGGAACTGCTACCCTGGGCAGCAGGGGCCTTGTCTGTCTGCCCACCTGGACGTCAGAACGACCAGAGGTTAAGGAGGGGTCCGTCATCACTGGGCAGGGAAATTCGCTCTGGTTCTCGGATCGACCATGTGACAGGCAGTGGCTGGTTCAACGGCCAGGCTGATTGTGAGGTCTGGGTGTGGACTGGAGTCCTGATGGTGGGATGGGCGAGGTCTCCTTCTTCCAGCCACCAGGGGAGACATAGTCAGAGCGGGGCTTCAAGCTGGCTGCCTGTGGTGGAATGTAGGCCCCAGACTGCCCCTGAGTTGTGACCAGTTGTGAAATAGAATCCATCTTTTATGGCAAGGCAAGAAAAACTTAAACATAAACATCCTTCTCGGGCTTCCCTGGTGGCGCAGTGGTTGAGAGTCCGCATGCTGATGCAGGGT